TATAGGGCCAGTGAAATTGGAGCTTGATTAGCTTATGGGAGAATTTTCTTAGTAATTGGAATTCATGAGTTTTGTCAAGTGAAATTGGTGACGAAAATGGAGAAGACATCAGTAATGGAGGAAACGGATAAGGGAGAAAGAAAAAGGAAAAAAAAAGAGAAGAAAAGAAAACAGAAGAAAGAAAAGAGAAAGGTAAAGAAAAAAAAGTACTAATAAAAAGGAAATAGTATTTGTAATATACTTTAATATAATTAAAGAAAGAGCTAATTAGTTTGGGTGAATTCCATTTCGAAAAGGGCATATATGGGCCAACTGTGTAACTTTATATATGGACCAACTATGTGACGGTAAGGGCATATTTGAGCTAAAGTAATAATGAAGGACAAATGTGCTCAATTTCGTATAGTACACGGGCATATTTGGACCTTTGCCCTTCTTTTAATTTAATTCTGAATCTTCAGTAAATCAAACTCGACCACACCCGCGGGTCATAATACATATTGCGAAGCTTCTCGAGACCTTAAGTCACTGAACAGAGCGTAAATTCTTAAAACGACAAGTCGGGTCGTTACAATTATTGTATATGTTAGTTTATTACTGTATATGTTAGTATTATTATTTTATATGTTAGTTTTATTATTTTATATGTTTGTTTTGTTACTCACTTATTTTTTACTATAATAAAATTAAATAATTAATTTTTATAACTATATAGGATTTAATTATTAAATATTCATATAACAATACTTAATTTGACAAATATTGTTATTTTCTCATGTTATTTTCTTACGTTTGTTGACTAGAATTTGAGAGAATTTGTGTTTGAACTATCAGCTTTTTTGACGTATTTTTGGGTATAAGAGATACTTAAATGATTAATTTCAATAACTATAAGGATACTACGCTAAAGGGCACTACATTTTACTACGCTAAAAGGGCACTACATTACAAATACGAGCACTACATTAGGCCACAAGATACCACTACAGGGAACTAAAGTAACAATTTATCTATTTTGGTGGTCTTTTAGCAAATAAATAATCTAAATCGGATAAAAATAACAAATATATTTAATCACAAAACAATCACGGAAATACATATACCACAGTAAAAAGTAACTAATTAATATTTTTTTAACAACTAATAACAATTCTCTATTTTACTAATTTTTTTAGCACACTAATACTATAGTCCGGATAAAAAATAACAAATTAGTTAAATCGCAAACAATCACAAAAAAACATAGAGCATATTAAAAACAATTAATATGCATTTTATACTAGTTTTAACAAAAACTAAGTTGGAATACCTCGATTTAAAGTTTTTGAAAAGTTGAAGATTTGGTGATTTGGAGCCGAAACGAGCAACCCATTCTGAGATAATGCCTTAGCTAGGACGTGAGACCGAGAATCTATACTTTTTGTGGGACCGGTGGGCTCAACTCGAGCTTTTTTTCGTCAACAATGGGGGACCACTGGTTTTGTTTTTTAAGGGGGGATCGTTTTCTGTTATATGGGGAAAGGGAAAGGGACTACTTTTTATATAGGTATAACGCCATTTATTAAGACGCTATATTATAGCGTCTTAATAAAGGGCACTATACCAAATATAGTTCCTTTTAAAAATGTGTTATATATAAAATGGTTACTGAGTTTTTTTTCCACACATTTTAGTTCTTTTAGTCCAAAAGAATCACATTTTGGTTCCGCACTCGAAGGAAGAGAGATCTATTATTGTTGCTCGCCCGGAGAAGAAGAAGAAGGCACTGCTTGGTTTTTGAGTTCTCCAATCGTTCTCTCTTCCCAGATCTATTTTTTTTCTCTCTCAATTTTTTTGTACTCTGTTTTCAGGTGCCTCGGTTGTTGCTACTCTATTTTTTTTGTTTGTTTCTTTTCGTTTTTTGTCCAATTCCGTCCTCCCCAATTTGCTCTCACTTTCGGTCCCTCTATATTTTTGTTTCTATTCAGATCTGTTCTTTTTGTGTGTTGTGTGTGTGGAAGATATATAGGTGTAGGTATAGAGATTAATTGGTGGCCAAGAAAAAAGAATGTCTATGTGCATGTGAGTTTTGAGCGAGAGCATGTGAGTTTGTCACAAAAAATATGGAAGAATCTTGCTAGGTGACATTTTTTGCATTGGTTCTTTTTTTTCCTTTTTATTTATTAAAAACAATCAAAATTAAAGATACTACACTAAAACTAAAAACTAGAAAAATATAAAAAACTATTAAGGAAAAAGTTATAAAATTGCTAGTCTTACCAAAATTAGAAGGAAAAACATATTTTGTAAATTTTCTTTTCTTTTGCAAATGAGATACATCTAATATCTAAAAGTGTAATTCTTTTTGTAGTTTTACTTTTATTAAATAAATATACTAAAAAAGTGATGAAAAATTTAAATATAATCAAAATTAGGTGCTCACAATACATAACAAACCATCCAAACAAACTGTTATGAATAGGCTCCGGTACCTTTTGGTCATTTATATATACCCATGCACATAAGAAATCTTGTTAAGGATGAAATAAGTATACACTAGTAGTCCAGCTGAAGAATAAACCCTAAAATTAATGAAAAAATGCTTAACTTTAACGGTGCTATAGTAATAAATCCATCATTTTACCTCCCAACATGACTCAAATCCTCAAGTTACGAGGTGCCCAACCACTAGAGCAAGCCTCCCGTCACCTTTTTCTTTTTAATTAGTTTCATTAGGACGTGCATGAATTTAATAACTTAAAATATTTACAACACATAATTGGTGATATATAAGGAAAATGAAGATGTCTTATTTTTAGTAATTGTTGATAAATCCAAATTACACTTTAATCTTGATGAAAAGTAGAGCCCGGGAGAGAATGAGCCTCAACCAGCAAAGGGTTTGTGACAAGTATGACTAAGTATAAAATTATCATTAGTTCAACAAGGAGACCAACCTGGGATACAATTCGATCAGGAGCAAGCTTATTTTTTTTTTTTAGTTAGCTTAGCTCTAAGTTTGAAAGAAGTAACAGTTACAAAAAAATAATTTCCACAAAGAAAGGCATCTATCAAGAGTAAATTTTACCATATTCAGTAGGAACAAATCTAATCTATTCAACATCCCTTAATACCAAAAGTTTCCAATTCCGATTTTCATGTAAGGCGTGTTTCTGAAATAGGTGAAGTTTAACTCTTTATGCAACAAGGCAACATTATCATATTCCTAGAAATTGCCAAGCTAAAAGTGAAACTAATATTATGGAGGTATTATCACATTTAGCCCGCGCCAGAAACTATTTATATTTGATAGCCGAAAAAGTGTATAAANTATATATAATATACAAAAAATATATATTTTTCGACTATTATTTTGAGAGCGGCTAGACAATGTATAAAACAGACTAGCTATGGAGAAAGAAGAACTAATTAAATCATATAAGCTAATTCTGCAGCTGCATCACCTCAATTACAAGGACATAAATCTAACCAGATATTGGACATTATATATAATTGTTCAAATGTCCAAATGAAGTCAAATTCCATAAGACCACAAGGACTTTAAGAGGATGATCACTAAGGGGTCGTTTGATAGAGTGTATAAGAATAATGTTGAATAAGGTGTATTAGTAATGCTGATATTAGTTATGCTTGCATTAGTTATGCTGACATATTTCTTATCCATTGTTTGGTTTGATATATTAAAGCATTGCACAATTTTTAAAAGAATTGTTTGTTTACAAAAATACCCTCATAACCAGTCCATCACTTTATCTTTTTAAAAGAAACATATGTTGAGGAATGTTTGTATATGAAAAAGGTTTAAACAAATTATTTGATTTGTCTACCTATATTATAGTATAGAACTTAATATTTATTTATAAAAAAGTAAATATGCTAAGTATTTATTTATTTACTAGGGATATAATTTTATTTTTCACTTTCTTGGATTATTTCAAACTTGCATTATATAATAGCATATTTTAATCAAGTATAAATTTTGAAGGACATTTTTGTCTTTAACTAAGTTAATGCATACATTAAAACCCATTGCATTGTTAATACAATAGTTTCTTATGCATTAATTATGCATAGGATAATACCAAATATGGTGTATAACTAATGCTTACATAACTAATGCATAAGTTTAAAAAGTGTACCAAACAAAGTATTACTAATACACAAAGCTAATGTATGCTACCAAACGACCCCTAATAGTTATACATACCATTCAGGAGCTAATTTGCAAGCGCAAAAGAGACCACTTAATTAAAGCACTATACTAAATTAAAAGTTCACAAGATAGTTCAAAGTGTACCTCAAAAGATCAGTGCCGCAGAAATCTTCCTGGAGATGGAGGGGCACCCTCCCACCTAAGTTCTGAAAATTGACTAGATTGGCCTCTTAAGGTTTGATAAGGAATTTCGAGATGTTTAAATTTTGATATATTTGGATTTGAGGAACATATTGAGATGCAGATGATGAGTTAAATTAAATTTTGATTCAATTAATAGTATTAGGAATATGTAGAATTAAGGAACCCGTAATTATCTTTTTACTTTTTTTTTTTGGGATGAATGAATAAGTGGAAAACAAGAATGCTTATATTTTTACAAAATGTGTTTGGACATTAATTGTGTGATTCCAAGTGAAAGAGCTAAGCATGGAAAAAGAATAAAGCATCCACAGTCTCTCCTACCGTACAAGGTATAACATAATCTTGATATAGTATGACTTAATCTAACAAATTATTTGATACGAATTTGTTGAATAAATCTGCATTACTTTGTAGAAATTTTAAACCAATAGCTTAAAAAGGTTTAACAGTCCTAAATTTGGGAAATTCAGCCCAAGAATACTCCCAACAAATATTTGAAAAGTAATTTTTTTACTATAAAATGGGGCTGATTGCGCTATTCTAGAATGGAAAGGGGTGTCAAATGTAAACTTAGGAAATTACGGGAGCTTTTACACAATAAAAAGACTTAGTTGTTTCGCTGAAACGCAGCCCTACGTGTATCTCACGCTGCTTTCACAAACCTTTCCCAAATTCAATATTCAAACTCACAATTCGATTCTTTCAATCTTCTCCCTTGTACCTCTAACCCACCCGATTTCATATCCAAATCCACCCTCAAACCTTCAGAAATATACAAACAAGTGCACCCCAATCTGCAAAAAGATGCACATAAACTTCTGTATTTTCAATTCTAATCATTCTATTAGTTCCTAGCTTTTCTAATTTCAGAGTTTGAACCTGGCCCACGTTTTCTCTTTCTTCTAATTGGGTTTGTATTGTATATGATCGAAGATGTATAGCAATTTCAAGGAGCAAGCGATCGAGTACGTGAGGCAAGCAGTGCAAGAAGACAACGCTGGTAACTATGCAAAAGCATTCCCTCTTTACATGAACGCTTTGGAGTACTTCAAAACCCATTTAAAGTACGAGAAAAACCCTAAGATTAAGGAAGCGATTACTCAGAAATTTACCGAGTATTTGCGCCGGGCGGAGGAGATCCGAGCTGTGTTGGATGAGGGTGGTACCGGGCCAGGTCCGAATGGAGGGGATGCGGCTGTGGCGACAAGGCCCAAGACGAAGACGAAACCCAAGGATGGAGAAGATGGGGAGGATCCTGAACAGTCCAAGTTGAGGGCTGGGCTTAACTCCGCGATTGTTAGGGAGAAACCTAATATTAAGTGGAATGATGTTGCTGGGTTGGAAAGCGCTAAGCAAGCTTTGCAGGAAGCTGTGATTTTGCCTGTGAAGTTCCCTCAGTTCTTCACCGGTGAGTATTTGCTTTTATTTGGTATATTTGTATGGTTGCCATATTTTCTAGGGGGAAAAATTGATTGGTACTGGTGATTGTATTTCTTAAAATTGATTCTTAAGTAGCTTTAAGTTCAACAATCAATGATCAATCAACTATACCTTAATCCCAAACTAGTTGGGTTTAGGCTATGTGAATATCCTATAGATGCTCAACTCGTTTCGAGATCTAATGTCTTGATGTTAAGAACTGAGAAAACTACCTATCCTTCCAGCTCCAAGACATTCAGATTTTTCCTGAAAATGTTTACATTGCTAGATTTATAGCCTATTGAGTTAGATGAGCTAGATGGATTCATTAGCTCCTAGCGCAGCATATCTGAATTCACTATAGGGTTAAGAGTGACTTGCTTACACTGCTGAATAATCTATAGATTAAGACATTACCAAGGAGCTAATTCGTTCAGAACTCAGTTGGCTGCTTCTATAGTGAAGGCGGAGCATCCTTGGCTCAACATTATAGCATATAACCAAAGAAATCAGGATTAATCCCACTTTTTGTCCCTTTCCTTTCTTAGGTTTGCTAGATAGAAAGAAGGCGAAGAGCGCAATAAGGTAATTGATCCTAGTCAATGTTGGTAGTTTTGCTTCTGCGTGCTGTGACCAGGAAAATAAATTTGGAAATGCTTCTTTAGTAGGACAGTGCTCAATCCAATTGTCATAACAAAATGAGATCTTTCTGTCATCACCAACGAGAGAACCAGTTCTTTCCACAAAACTAGGCCATGTTAGTGATTCTTTTGATGAAGTGGGAGAAAAGAGTTTTTGTAACCAGGGTGGTTGAACCCTCATAGATATTACGTGTCCGCGTGCTTAGAGTAAATAATATAGTTTCTGAAGGGTAGTGAGTTTTCTTTTGAGATCAATAGGTTCAAACTTGGTATGTTGCATGTGTTGAATGATCTTTTCCGCGGAGGTGGGGGCTTAAATGGTTAGGGTTCAATAAAAAAGAGAAAGAGATCTTTTCTAAAATAAAAGGAGTCACCTTTCTCTTTGCATCTCAATTCAATCTATCCGTAGGTTTATAAATGAAGATTCACAGCACCTATTCAGGAGTTAGGGAATTGGCTTGCAATGAATTGTGGTAGGAATCCCGACTTTCCAATAGGGCGGCGGCAAACTGATATGATGCTCACTCACCATGAAGAAATGTAAGATCGAACTGCGCTCATGTATGCCACCAATTAACACCATTTATGATCCTTACCATATTTTTCTTATGACCTTTCACGGCCATTTCCTTTGTGTTGAACCTCCATAGCCATTTCATCGACATGCTATGACATTAATGTGTTCGAGCAGAAATTATCTTCAATGCTTTCTTGGTTATTTGTCCATGTGGATAACTTGCAAATTCTGCACAGTTTAAGCTCAAGCATTGCAGTAATAACAGCTTACTTTGGGTAACATTTTAAGGTTATAAAGAATTTGTAACAGAAGATCCAGAGCACAGGACTTAGCAAGGTGGTTAGACACATTGAATTAATGTATTTGGACTACCTATTCATGCTGATACACTGATTTATAGCTGTTGTATATCGGATCCCAGTTCTCCTCTTATGAGAGGAACTGCTACTTGTTTATTCATGAACAAGAAATATTCTTTCTGCTTGAGGAGGTAAACTTGTGAAGCTATGGGGAACCTTCTGACACTAGGTGTCATGTTTGTACAGTGGATAACTTGCAAATTCTGCAGTTTAATCTCAAACATTGCAGTATCAACAGCTTACTTTGGGTTACATTTTAAGGTTATATAGAATTTGTTACAGAAGATCCAGAGCACAGGACTTAGCAAGGTGGTTAGACAAATTGAATTAATGTATTTGGACTACCTATTCGTGCTGATACACTGATTTATAGCTGTTGTATATCGGATCCCAGTTCTCCTCTTATGAGAGGAACTGCTACTTGTTTATTCATGAACAAGAAATATTCTTTCTGCTTGAGGAGGTAAACTTGTGAAGCTATGGGGAACCTTCTGACACTAGGTGTCATGTTTGTACGTGTAATAGTAACTGCCGGTAAAGCTCATGCGATTCAGTTTGTGATTTCTCTCTGTTTTTTTTTGTCACCGTTTCCTCAAGATCCCCTTCCTCATCATACCCAAAAAGTCAAAACTAGGGATAAAAAAGGTGAAGAACATGTTTTTGCTTTTATTTTTTCTCCTTATAGTAAATTTAGAAGATGTTAATTAGCTCTGCAAAATTTTCCATCATCACCTAACTTTACAAATTTTTTGAGTGCTTTCGTTCATCCTCACCTAAGTGTTTTCTTGCCTTTCTTATAGGCAAGAGGAGGCCATGGAGAGCTTTTCTTTTATATGGTCCTCCTGGGACAGGAAAATCTTACTTGGCCAAAGCTGTTGCTACTGAAGCAGAATCCACTTTTTTCAGGTATTATTCCTCCGATGTGCAATTATTCATATTATTTACTCTCCATTTCGCTGCACACTTGAGCTAAGGATTAGACATTGCTTTTCTCACTGCGGCGCTGAGTCTGTAAAATGCACAGGTTATAGTTTTTCTCTATGTTTTGCTCGGACTCTCCGAAAATATTGTCGGGTGCGTGTCGGATTCTCCAAAAGCATTGTATTATTGGAGAATCCAATACGGGTGTGGCAGTGTTTCAGAGAGTCCGCGCAACATAGGTTATTCTTTAGATTGTTAACGTCATATTCATCTGTCATAAGGACAATTTAAGAACAAGAGAGGAATCGGAATCTCCTCTGCAGGCCAAAATATGTTAAAGAAAGCAAAATCAAAGAATAGGAGTTTCTAGAAGATGCCCACGGGGGGCAAGGAAGGTGAGCTGTTGATGAGGTGGCTCTGATGAGATACATATATAGACGGTTGGATAACTCGAGATATGACAAGTGTATCATCTTGGTGTGTACTATTATTGAAATACTTTTGATTTATAAATAAAGATAAGATGTTCAATAAATTTTTGTCCCAATATTTGCTGTTCTTATATAGCTTCAATGACATGATATCAATGTCTTATGAGATGCTTAATTTCTTAAATAATTTTAGATATGTGTATTGTCTTTGAAAAGTCGGCAGTATCCAATCCGAATAGATTTTTCATCTGTGGTTTTTTTCTTTCCCTCAGAGATATTTTTGATGAAATGCCGACATACGTGAGGAACATGCATGAATTCAGCTGCATTTCTGTTTTTGTCAGCTATTTGCTTATTTTTCTGCTTTCAAGAACTTAGTCTGTAAAGTTGGCAAGTGCCAACTGCTGTTTTTATGCAGTGTCTCATCATCGGATCTCGTTTCCAAGTGGATGGGGGAAAGTGAAAAGCTAGTTTCGAACCTATTCCAAATGGCTCGCGAAAGTGCCCCATCCATTATATTCGTCGATGAAATTGATTCCTTGTGTGGGCAGCGAGGAGAAGGAAATGAAAGTGAAGCTTCTAGACGTATTAAAACAGAACTGCTTGTGCAGATGCAGGTACTTGTTACACTGGGAAAGTAGTGAGTGCTCAATTAACCCCTTCCAGCAACCAGTACAAAACAAGAAATGAAGATCGGTTTGTTAAACAAATATCTTTGGCTTATCTAGTTAGTAATTTCAGGGTGTTGGACACAATGATGATAAAGTTCTTGTTCTTGCGGCAACAAATACACCCTATGCCCTAGATCAGGTAAAGAATGATCTGTGAGATATAATATAGCAGATCGAAATGATCTTTTGCTTACAGAAATTGTCCTCTGCAGGCTATTCGCCGAAGATTTGATAAGCGCATCTACATTCCTCTACCAGATGCGAAGGCACGACAACACATGTTCAAAGTGAGTCCAGTTGTATTTCTGTTTAAAGTAAATTTACGTAAATGTAATCTGATTCTGTTTTTTTAAGAGCTAGACTTATTATTTTCCATTTTGGCTTTTAAACTTTCCAGGTTCATTTAGGGGATACCCCCCATAACTTAAGTGAGAGCGACTTTGAAGACTTGGGCCGTAAAACAGAAGGTTTTTCTGGTTCGGATGTTTCTGTGTGTGTAAGTCTCTCAACCAAAAGGTGGAACCATTCCTCTGGTTTCTTCCTCTAATATAACTGTACTTTATCTTCTTGAACAGGTCAAAGATGTACTCTTTGAACCTGTTCGTAAAACACAAGATGCTATGTTCTTCACCCAGAGATCTGATGGTACATGGATGCCGTGTGGACCGAAACAACCGGGTGCTGTGCAGACAACTATGCAGGAGCTTGATGCTAAAGGACTTGCATCTCAGGTACAATCAGATAATCAGTGGCACAAATAATATTTCATGAGTTTGTTAATCCTTTTGTTTCTTTTCATTGAATTTTAACTGGAATATGTCAAGAACTACTCAGAACTCCTGTTGGACAATCACTATAAATTGTTTTTCATATTACTTTTGGAGGATGCATGAGCTATATAATAATTTTAACTTAATGTGATTAGACATTGTGCTCCCGCTGATCTTTAACCTACATATCAAGGTTTCAATAGGTAGTAAAATAGTAGTTTATGTTTAAATCAACAGATAGATATCTGAGTATGAAGCTCCAATAATTGGTTGTTCTCTCTCTTACAAAAGAATGCGCTAATTAACTGCTTGCTTATTAATGCCTTTGCAGATCATCCCCCCACCCATTTCGAAAACAGACTTTGATAAGGTGCTTGCTCGTCAACGACCAACAGTAAGTAAGTCGGACCTTGATGTGCACGAAAGATTCACCAAGGAGTTTGGAGAAGAAGGTTGAAGAAACTGAGCGGCTATTCCTGCAGTTGCCAAGATTTGTAGTTTACTTGTGTGTTGTGCCTGAAAAACATGATTCAAAGGCTCTTTAAATGGAAAGTTGACTTTGTTTACCCTTTCCTTCTGGGGTGTTTCAGTTTTACACTTCAAAATCTTATTGCAATTCAATTACTTCAGTAATTGTAAGCAACTGCAAGTACCAAAGTTTCTCTGATTTCCTCTTTATCAGTATGTTCATAGTTATTCTGGAAAATCTGAACCTGCCTTTTTATTTTTATTTTTATGATGAATGTCATTGTACTTATCAGAACTTAGAAGTTAAAGGATGCTGCTTTTCCTATGATTTACCAATGAGTTCTCAGGATAAGCTTTCCCTATTCAAATAGCAACAATATATCCAGTGTGATCTTGGGGACGAAAAGCCCAAAATCATACATCATCTATAGCTTTTAGAGTTAAAATAATACATATTCTTTAATATGGTGCACTAATAGTCATTTTTCTTTAGCAAAGTGCAAAGTGGTGCACTCTTAACCACAACCCTAGATACTGTTAGTTTTTTAACGGGACTCACCTCATGTGCCTGTCACATGATTTCTATTTAAAAAAAAAACAGATTTCTCTACAAAAGATCAACATTCTCTTCCTTCTCTGTCCCATTTCTTCCCCCAATTTTCATAACCCTAGTTGGTAATATCCCTTTCTCCACCATCTTTTCAAATAAGAATATAGCTTTAATTGGATAACCATACTGTGAATAAGCTCAAATTGTAATGAATGATTTCGATGAATGAGTATCAATATTATTTTTCATAAAGCAGTTGGCATAAAATTTCTATTTCATTGCAAAATTCTTTGACAAAATGATTCACTTGGCTTAGACAACAGGATATTGGACTATTAAATATTAGATTTCTCTTACTCAATTTTAAGTATCAACTTATACTTTATGGAAAGCTTTTGAAGCATTTCCTGATTATATACTGAATGAAAGATGAATGTTATTGTGGCATAAAAAATGTGGGTGCATTGTACTAATTATAATAAGAAAAAATTCCAGCAGCATCTTTTAGCATTTAGCAACAGTTTACAGCTCTAAAAACCAATAAAAACAGCAACTAATGTCAAGTTTTATCACCAGCCTAAAAAATTAGCAAAAACAACAGTCATTTTTCAGCAAAAGTAAAAGTCAGATTCCAGCACCAACTTCAAAAACAGTAGTACAATTCCAGCACTAGCTTAAAAAAACAACAAAATTCCAACACCAGCTTACAAAACCAGAACAACAATAAAAATTCCCGCACCAGCTTAAAAATCAGCAAACTGAAGAGGTAGTTTCTTCTTGTACAATATTATATTTGCAAGTCCTTTTGTTATGGCCAGGCTTGTGACATATACTACAATCTAGAGACTTTTGCTTTCGTTTCATCTTTGTTCAACTAGCACCAACTTCATCTTGTTCTTTTTTTCGCAACTTTTGCTTTCTTCCTCTCTTACTATTTCTCACAATCTTTGGAGGCAGTGGAGGAACTTTACTTGACTTAGGCCATAGTTGTGGCCCATTCATTGGAAGAATTGAGTTTTCAAATTCTTCTATATGTTTCCACCTTGTAACAATCATGGACATAGTCAAGAATGTTATCCTTCTTAGCCCAAATTGCTGCAATAGCATACTTGCAAGGGATTCCCGTGAGTGTAACGATTCGACTTATCGTTTTAAGAATTAACATCCCGTTCGGTGACTTAAGGTCTCGAAAAATTTTGCAATATGTATTTTGACCCGCGGGTGTGGTCGAGTTTTATTTTCGGAAGATTCAGAATTAAATTGAAAGAACAATTCTTATTTAGAAGTTTAAATGGAAATAGTTGACTGGAGATTTGATGTAACGACCCAAATGACTGTTTTGAGCTCTAGCATGTCGTTCGGCGGTTTGAGGCCTTGAGTAGCTTCACTCCATGTATTATGACTTGTACGCGTAGTCAGAATTTAATTTCGGGAAGTTCGGAATTGATTTGAAAAGAAAATTCTATTTTCGGAAACTTTAAGTTGGAAGAATTGACTAAGGTTTGACTTTTGAATAAAACGACCTAAAAGCAAAAGAATGTGGCGGATTCATCTAGAAAAAGACTAGGAGGAAATAAAAAAAAGAGGGGGAGGACGTGAAAGTAAGGAAAAACAGAAAAAAGAAACGATAAGGAGGGGCTGATTTCTTTGGGGAAAGGGACACGAAAAAGGCACCTAAAAAAAGAAGAAGAAGGAAACAAAAAATGAAAGATACGAAAACAACAAAAGAAAGAGAGTTTGAAATCTCACAATCACTCATCTTCCTCATATTCCTTTTGAACATAAACAATGGCTATATTCTATCCAAATTCAGCTAGGTTGAAATTAATCTATCAAAGCAACATAATGGAGATCGATTTCGTCGGTTGAGTTGATGTCGAGTGGTTGAGGCTGAGATCTAGTCCATAGTAACCTGTGCTTTGTTCGAATTCGAGGTGCAATCACATTCAAGGCAAAATTATATAATACAAAAGTCTTTTCCTTTTTCTACCTTGCTTCAATTTTTACTTCATATATCATAAATTAGTGGTTTAGTTGTTATGTTTCATCACGTTTTGATAATTTTATTTATTTATTTGTTTTGCTTAATTTGTGCTTGTTGTGTGGAATATAAATAATAACGATTTCTGACTTTTTCTTTCTGTTTTTTTTGGGTTTCGTAAGAGTGATATGTGCTTAAATTATTTCTCCTCTATATAATGTTCAGTTCATTCTCTTGTCTATTGTATCAATGCCTTCATGCTTAGCTGCATTGGTATTTTACACTAATTCTCTTATCAGCATGAGTTTGATTAGTTTACTAAGATCATAAATTGGAAGATAGTTTTGGTTATTAAAAATGTGAAGATGAAACTATTTTGGGGTTCTTCTCTTCGTCTTTGATTTCTCATTATCAGTGTGTATGTACTTTATTGGATTTTGTTTAGTTATTTTTTTGAGCTGACCCTTATTGATTTCACATAGTCTTCTATTGAGCTTAGTTTCCAATTATTTTCCGTAGTCCTCCATCTTGGTTTTATTACAAGTGTAATACATGATTTATATATGGATTTAAATATGAAAATTAGTAGAAATTTGAAATTTTGGGAGAAAATATAGAATTTGGTTTTTTTGGATTTTGACCACGAAATTGGACATGAAATTAAGAATAAATTATATATTTGAGTTCGTGGTGTTATGAGTAAAGTTTATCTTCGAATTTTTTTGAAATCCGGGCGCGTGGGCCCGAGGGTTGACTTTGTTGGCTTTTGAGCGAAGCTGGGAATCATTATAAATTGTTAAATTATACGTATTGGGGTATATTTTGATTGATTTGCATGATGTTTGACTAGTTTTGAAGAGACGGGCATCGGGTTGAGGTGTTTGAGTGGTGTTGGATCCGGTTATGGAATTTCGAAGCGAGGTAAGTCTCTTGTCTAATTTTGTGAGGGGGAATTTACCCCATAGGTAATTAAAGTAATAATTGTTTCTAATTATGGGGGCTACGTACGCACGAGGTGACGAGAGTCCGTGCGTAGCTACTATTAATGCTAAAGTCCGGGTAGTTTAGGACACAAAGCATGAATTACTTGTACAAATTATATTCTTTGTTTAATTAATATTATTTGATATATATATATTGTGTTAATTGTTAGGTAAAAATATTAAAAGATGGAAGTCTCATATGCTCAATTTTCTGTTTAAATTAATTAAATGTTAAAAAGAATTGTTCATCCTCTCGAATTGATCCTATAATAAATATACTCTCCTTCCGGAGGTACATAAGAAAATGTCCTCCTTTCTTGTGGAGTGGACCGAATACCTCGGCAGGATAGATGCATCTATGGATCGCGCCGCACGTCCCTCGGCAGTATACACGACACTCTGGATCGGGCCGTACGACCTCGACAGAAATCGTGCCTAATAATAATAATTATACAATACTTTACTGTTTTTAATTACAGCTTGTGGATTTAATTAATAGATTGAGAATTGTTGCATTTGAAGGAATTTGATTGATAAGTTAGAAACTATTGGAAATTGAAAGAATTAATTATCTCTGCTTGTTAAGAAAATTATGATTATTCCTGTAAATGAGGCTAATTGATAAATTAAAAATTTATTGGAATTAAAGGAATTTAATTATTTCTACTGGTTCAATAAAATTATTGTTAACTCTGTGAATCATGTTGATAAAAATATTTCTATTTTTATGTTACTTATTATTATTGACCCTTAGTGAGTGTCAAAGTCGACCATCTCGTCTCTACCTCTTCGAGATTAGGCTTGATACTTACTGGGTACACGTTGTTTTCGTACTCATGCTACACTTGCTGCACATTTTATTATGCAGGTACATATATGCCTAGCTGCCTTGTGGGCGCAGAGGTGTAGTTAGTAATTGTGGGGACATAGGTGAGCTGAATTATGTATTACGATCAGCAGCCAATAGAGTCTCCTTCAGAGTTATTATATTTTCCTGTCTATTTTGTATTCTGGACAAATGCTGTATTTTATTTTTAATTCCTTAGTAAATGCTCATGCACTTGTGACACCGGGTTTTGGGAATGGTTGTGAATTATTTAGAAATTTAGTTGCTAAAAATATTTATCATTTACTCTATGAGTTTTATCTTTATTGTTTCATTGAAGAGATTTTGATTTCAAAAATACTAAAATGGGTAATTAAGTTAATTGATTATGGTTGGCTTACCCGACAGTGGTGTCCGGCGCCATCACGGCCTTAATGGATTTTGGATCGTGACAAATATGGTATCAGAGCACTAGGTTCACTTAGGTCTCACGAGTCATGAGCAAGTCTAGTAGAGTCTTGCGGATCGGTACAGAGACGTCTATGCTTATCTTCGAGAGGCTACAGGGCTGTTAGGAATACTTCCCTTTTTGATTCTTCATCGTGCGATTTGATTCCTTTGAGGCTTATGCCTTCATTTACTTCCTATTCAATCTTATGCGCCGTGAAGTGCTTGTTATAAATTAAGGATCGAGAAAATTATTAATGGTTCTACAGATGCAGTGCATGATGCTTCTCCCTGTGTAATTAATTGGGCTATTGTCGTCGCTTTACGGAAGGTCGCTCTGTTATTTCAAATTAAGTATCAGTACCACCTAAGGTTTTGAGATTTGGCATTGATTGTTATGACGATTCGTGCGCTGTTATCGTACAATGTTATGAAATAGTAAAATGCCTGTCTATGTGTCAGGATAGTAAACGACTTGAAAGAAGGTTTTTCTCAGTACATGATTAAGAGGTTCCATGTTTTATTTCCAGCGGAGAAAAGGCAATCAGACTATAAATGTTCAGGTTTGGGGTTGATGGAGTAACGAAGCTTGATATTTTCGAGTGTGGTAGAGTTCTCAATTGTGATGTGATGTCATCAAATGCGTTAAGGTTCGCCGGTATTATAGTCTTCTTCAACTCGCCTTCACGGCGGGGTATTAGGAATTGGTGTAGGAGGAGCAATTGTTAGAGATCGCGGTGTGCAGTAGTTCAGGATAGAGGCGGTGTTCCTAGTATTGATGTCTCGAGAAGGATGATCCTCGAAATGGTTTAAAGTTGGTAACGATCTATTGGTTCAATTGCTACAGAGACGGGTTTTGAATTAAGGTAACAACTGGGCAGCGAAGGATGAGGAAGGACATGTTGAAGGTGTCTTGTGGTGGTTAGGTTCCGAGAAGGACAAGTGTAATAAAACAGAAGTCGAGTAGTTGCTTAAAGGAGAAGGTTTGACCAAAGTGAGAGAGTGGCAAGGTAGCATATGGATTACGTGGTAGGATAATTACACGTCTTGAGGAAAGTTTGGAGTGATTTGGGATTTAGGATGGACAGTGACTAGGTCTACGGACTTAAGTTGTAATATTAGCTGCTATATTGAGGAAGATTAGATACAACTGGAGGGAGTTGCTTAATATGAAGAGGGATGCAACATGACTTTGGGTTAGAATGTATCATCGCACCTTTAGTTAAGGTCATCAGGAAGTGAATCGACTGGTAAAGCTGGTGAACGAGCATGGGCTCAGGTTATTTTATTGGTTTCGTGGTAATAATACTCGGTGCAGCATTGTTGGAGGATGTCAGCATGTAATTTCCATATGTGGGATATCTCATGTGAGCGGGTTAGCAGTTGCGTGGTGTTGATGGACCTTCTACTAAGAATTTTACTTGTTACCCTGTAAGAGGTCGAATAGGTGATTATGGCTAATGGTTCAGAATGTTCGGGGAATGCTTAACAAAACGAATTTTGAGAATTTGGCGGTTAACAACGCGGGATCATGGTAAATGAGGAGGAGGAATAGTTGTGGGCTCGATATTATGTGGTGGTATCTTAAAGCTAAGTGGGAGAGCCCCACCGTCTACAATTGGATTGCATGGTTATCTATTTATAAGGTTTCTGGTTATCGGTGTATTGGTGGGTCATTTCAACTAAGGAAAGAAAACATCAGTGGTAATTTGAGCAAAGGATTTGGGAAATGTGTGCCATATTTGGCCTTATCTATTCATGTTCAGGCTTTGGGAAGACTCATAGTCTATGCTTCATGTTGATGTGATGTACGAGGAAGGTGATTCGGTCGGATGCTTCTTCTTCGAGAGAGTGTTCAACTGCTAGTAGAGCCTTGGAGTTGATTTAATTCGGGACCAAGTCGGAATGGGTGAATCTCAATAATAGTCCTAGTGGATTCAAAACGTTACAGTGTGGTGCCTAAGGATTTCGAGCCTGTAGTATGGTTAAATATCAAGCTTTTGCAACAGATTTTGAAAAGGGTTTGGGGTGTTCTATGTTATCTTCGGTCAGCGGTGTAGCATTGAAGTAAACAGAAGGAAATAACTTCGGATTCATAAAAGAAGGATCAGAATGGGTGTACCAGTTAAAGATGTAAAGTGCGCACAAGGAGGGATATGAGATGATTAATGGGTTTTGAAACAGCGTGGTCTCGTGAAATAAGGTCACTCGAGATGAGTGCGGATTTGAGTTCGTGATATAATGAATGAGACTATTATTATTTCTAAGGCAAGTTGAGAATACATTGAGAAAAGACGGGTCGGCTAACAATGGTTGAATTGGCATGATGGTGCCAATGAGCAGTTCCTTCAGAGCATTGAGTTATGCATGTAATTTGTGGCGGTACGTGCGAGGCTTGACGACCGCCGTAATTGATTTTATTTGGAGGAATTCAAGTATTATGGCATGTTATGTGTAGAGGGATACCGGAAGAGTTATGGTGGTTTAGACTACTACTTAAGGCTGGTAATATCTGCGGATAGGGGAATTCGGTCATGTGTTGCAATGGTTCTCTTGAAATGAGTTAAGTAGAAGGTTTCTATATGATGAAGTGTTTACCCTATTAGTGGTTCGGGAGTTATGATTGAATTCTTATACTCCTGCGCATTTGCGTGATTAAGTGCACTAAGTAGCATGGGATTCGAAAGTTGAGGATTCAAGATTTCGGTTCGGTGTTGACAAGGATATCCTGAGCTAGGATGAACAGGAAAAAGGATTTATATATTTAAAGTAAGATGGTATTGTTTTCGGCGTCACCTAAGGTCGATGTCAGGTGTAAGAGACCTTGTGTATTGACTTATGGATCCTTGAAAGTTTATTAGCCTAGTACGGTGCGATCAGAATTGTCTTGAGTTATATGGATGGATTTAAAAATTAATATGTGCTTTATATCAAGCCGGATATGTTCATTTCAGCATAACGCTCCTTATGGAGGAGTATTCGGACGTTGGAAGTCGTTTCGTCGTCGGCTATTTCATGTAATACTATATTGTGCCATGTGAGTTGTGAAGCGGCTTGATAAATTTCTTATGTATTGAGGTTCCGCATAGCGATGGTGCTATGTGAGCAGGATGACTCTCGAGATTCAAATCATATATCACACCTTAGTTGTGCTTGAGTTTTGTAGCGTATGGCGTTGTCGGTCCTCCCAGGGATGGTATCATGCAGTTAGCGTGCTTGTGTCCGATATTCAGATATTTTGTAGTAATGACCATTCTAGCTCGGTAAGTATTTCCTTATAGATTCTTTTTTTGTGCGGATCGGGTGGCACGCCGCCACGGGTATGTTGTTTGGATCGGGTTGCACACCGCAACAGTGAGATGTTGAATACGGTTACATATATTTGTTTCTTTGTATTTTGTTTCTCATTTACTGAAGACAGTTCATAGCGTCTGTTCGACTGTTTTATTTGTTATGTGGGCTGGGTAGTTCCTTTTTAGAGTTGGTTTTTCTTTATATATCATATTCGAGTTATGGCTTGTCGGCACATTGATGGTGTCATATGAGATTTTGGTCAGTGATTGAGATAGCTTATTGCCTGAAAAACTTGTACTGGGTGAGACGAGGTTATTGGTTAATGGTTCCTGTTAAAGAGCAAATATCGTGATTCAGTTCAAAATACGGTAATGGTTCCTGTCAGGAGGAGACTCTAGGATTTGTTGATTCGGCAGGTGGTTATGAGTTTCTACACATCTCGTTCGTCGTGGCAGCATTGAAGATTTGGAACCGGGCTCATAGGTGTTATGAGGTGTGCTTCGAACGCCGGGTCAGTGAAGTTCGAGCTGTTGTGCTTGGAAGAGGTTGCCTTGGGAAAATGATTTATGTGATGTATTTTGTGATGTTAGCCTGAGTGCATGATTGTGTGTGGAATCAGCATATGGAGATTTGCACTATGTTCGTGCTTTAGAATAAGGTCTTGTAAAGAAATTCAGAAGTTGGAATTTAGTTCTAAAGCTGGTTAGCTAAGGTTATATGTAGGATTTCCAGTCTGGCTCGAGCTAATGTGTGCAACTGGATTGTGGTAGCACGGGCAGGTGCACGAGGTATTTAACAGTGATTTTGGACAACTCCGGAGTAGTTCTTAGCACGTTCGAGGACGAACGTATGTTTAAGTGGGAGAGAATGTAACGACCCGAATGGCTATTTTGAGCTCTAGCGCGTCGTTCGGCGGTTTGAGGTCTTGAGTAGCTTCACTCCATGTTTTATGACTTGTACGTGTAGTCGGAATTTAATTTTGGAAAGTTCATAATTGATTTGAAAAGAAAATTCTAATTTCGGAAGCTTTAAGTTGGAAGAATTGACTAAGGTTTGACTTTTGAATAAAATGACCTAAAAGCAAAAGAATGTGGCCGATTCATCTAAAAAAAAGACTAGGAGGAAATAAAAAAAAGAGGGGGAGGACGTGAAAGTAAAGAAAAACAGAAAAAAGAAACGATAAGGAGGGGCTGATTTCTTTGGGGAAAGGGACACGAAAAAGGCACCTAAAAAAAGAAGAAGAAGGAAACAAAAAATGAAAGATAAGAAAACAACAAAAGAAAGAGAGCTTGAAATCTCACAATCACTCATCTTCCTCATATTCCTTTTGAACATAAACAATGGCTATATTCTATCCAAATTCAGCTGGGTTGAAATTAATCTATCAAAAGCAACGTAATGGAGATCGATTTCATCGGTTGAGTTGATGTCGAGTGGTTGAGGCTGAGATCTGGTCCGTAGAAACCTGTGC